TAAAATTCTGTTTTCACTTTGTCATTATGGGGTAGTGAGTGTAGATTAATGAGAAAAAAAAACAAATTTGAACGATTGTAGTATCAGGCTGCAAAATAACAAAATTGAAAAAAAGTGAAGGTCTGAATACTTTCCGAATGCACTGTATAGCTGCAGGATTTTTCCTTTGTCCAACACCAGGGACTAACACTGCTGTCTTAATGTTTTGCCCCGTAAGGAATAACACCACCATCATCAGTCTCTGGGAATAATTTAGGAGCTTTCCTGGACTTTGCAACCCTGCATTAATCCTGATCTTCCACCCACCTAGCCTGACCTTAAATGTGCCACTGAGTTGCACCAAAGGTCCAGCTTTTCATGCTAGGCAGAAGAGCAGCCCATGACAAAATAGCCATTGAAAGCAAACAGCAGGGACTGGGGGGGGGGGGGGCAGGTACACATCAGTCCACTGGAATGGAGGTATTTCTAAGCAGGAAGTACAGATCTGCCCTTAGTTCCATTTGCATTATAAGCATTTAATCCACCTTCTCTGAAGCCTCTAGACAATTCGCAGGACACATTAGCTGCTCTTGCATGGAATGCTTAGCCAAAGTTTACTTAAACCTAGTTTATTCATCAGTCCACATTTCTGAGATCTCATGACACAGTCAACCATAAACTTAACAACCTGGGCTGGATTCACGCAGCACCCTCAGTTACAACGTTCTTGGCTGATTTATAGTCAGTGTATCACACAAACACAACTAAAGAGTCTTAAGAGTTGAGTAGAAAGTAGATGAGTAGATTAGTAATTTGCAGTAGATCAACAGGGCTGGATTTGAACTCCCAATAGCATTTTTCCCCCATTATAAGCTGTTGAAATTTAAAAAACGGGTACAGGAGTGGCTTGTGTGTAAAAGATCAACTGGTTCAGTTCAGCCCTACATTCCTAGACTCAGAGCATTCTTGGAGACACCCCGTTTTCTTGAGGTTCAAGTAAATGAAGTAGATCCAAGAAGCCTAAAGTTTATTCATCACTGGCTTAGGTTGTTGAGGGCACAGGCAGCTATTCTCAGCTTCCCAAGACAGGGAGGGTTTATGATCGTCTGCTCAGGGCTTTCTAATGTCTTTTTGCAGCCAAGGATCAATGACAAACCTTAATGGGTTTTGCCACAACAGTGACAGCTTATTAAAGTAGAATTTTATAGACAAGGCAGAATAGTTTAGTTTAGCTGATCTGCAAACTGTAACAGAGTCGGTTACTGCAGATTTCTAAATGTTTGTCTTAACATTCAGCAGACTATCCTTTCTTTTGCTTCTATATTCCCTATAGCAGTGTTTCTCAACCTTGGCAGCTTGAAGATGTGTGAACTTCAACTCCCAGAATTCCCCAGTCAGCATGCTGGCTGGAGAATTCTGGGAGTTGAAGTCCATACGTTTTCAAGTTGCCAAGGTTGAGAAACACTGCCCTATAGAGAGAACATGCTTGTCAGAGATTAATGAATGCTTGTCATCACTGATGTATGAAAAGCTCTGATCACCCAATTTGCAACTCATATTCAGTGAGATGTTTCCTTTATAACTATTCCTCCAAAGGGCCACTTCTCACAACTCCCATTTCTAATTGGTCAGGTAGAGGTAGCTTTACATTTCCTGTGCTGAAACAATTTTATGGCACCATCGTTTTCAAAGCGGGGTGGTAGACACGGTACAATACCTTGAGGTTTGAATATGCATCCAGTCCTTCCCTTAATTCTGGGATGCACATCCTGCACTCACCCCCCCCCCCCCCCCCCCCCCCCGCAATGGAGTGAGGCTCCCAGAGTTGTTCTAAAAGTTGCTACCAAGTTGTGATTTTTAATATGAAAAAAGAATCATTAATTATTTGGGGAATAATCACATGATGTTATTAATTGAATTTATATTCAGCTATATGAAATCAATCACCGTTTTTATCCTGGTCCTGCCCTATCTTTGCTCAGCCCTCCACTTTGGGAGAGCACAGCCCCCAATATGCCAGACAAAGATGAAGTATGGCCCTCCATCTGAAAAGGGTTGTGTAGACTTCACTGTGCCTGGAATGACTATTGATATCCTCAGCAGACACGCTCTGCTTTTAAATGTTCCTCTCCACTGTGACCCACCGTGCTTGCTTGCTATATCGCTGGCCATCCTGTGTCTGCCTCCTCCTCGCTCTTTTCACAGAAGCGATGGCTATATAATACCAAGGGGATTAAGGAGAGCTGCTCTGTGTTCCTTTTTCAAAGGCAGTTCTTTCATAGAAAGCCTTCCACTGTTCATCTGTGTTACCCGGAAAAATCAATATGGTGAATAGCCTTCTGCTAGACACAAAAGCTCTTGGAGAGAAATGCTTGTAAAAGATTCTGCTTGGTATGAAAAGAAATATTGGGTTAATCATTTTTAATGTTTATTTACTCAGCTTCAAACAGTTCCACTGGAATCACTGTTGTTGCTTTTAAACATAAAGGTAGATTTATGGTTCTGAAATTAATCTCTGGGAATCTGAGTCACTGGTATAATAAATCAGCCACTTGGTTGCTGGAAAAAAGTGTGGAATGTTCTGAATACTTCTCTTAAAGGTGAGAAGAAAGGCTTACCTTACTCCCCACCACTAGTCAAACTGGCATCTGCTACTGCGCAACTCTTATATGGTAGTTAAGACTGGAATTTTATTCAGAGCTTCCCAGGGATGAGACCCATGCCAATAGTATCTCAGCTGGCTGGTTTATAATGAAGGGGCCTTGCTAATCTTACCAGAAGCCAGACCTTGGGCATAGCCAGATGGCTGTGTTAAGGTGCTTCCCTCCAGCGTATGGTCCAGCAGGTAAGTAGGATGGTATCCGTTTGTTGGTACATTCATTTTCTGGACTGCCATATCCTGAAGGACTCCTGGCAATTAACAATAGAATGAAAACATCC